GGGCGAAGATCCTGTTATTTAACTTTGAGAGTTAAATGAGAGTTTGGGTTATTTCAGTTTGCTGAGAAATTCATAGCGCTTGTTCTCGGCAAGTGCCGAGACTTGACAAGGGCACCGATTATTTCTATTTGAGGTGAGAAGAAATAGGAGTAATTTCCGCTCTCCCACATCTTCAAATGCAGCTGGAATGCAAAGAGGGCCAAGAATGAACAGGAAAGAGGGGAGTCAATTTTTAGAATCCACCTCTTATTTATTCGGACTGAATCTGTGAGTCACGCTCCTTGAGGAGGAAAAAGAGAGAGATTGAATGTCAGTTGTTGAGCATTTTATTTCTTCATCTTGATAGATCAATTCCTCTTCTCCAACAGCTCCCACAATGTTCTGATCACAAGAACCCATGAGAGACAGCAATCAGGTTAGACCTGTCCATGTCTATGGAGATTCTCAGTCATCCAGGTCATGGTTGTCCCAAAGGTGCTTTTTCAAGAGGCAACTGGACTTTCTTGTTTTTCTTTGAAGATATTTTGCTTCTCATCCAAGAAGCTTCTTCAACTCTGAAGCTCTGAAGAAGCTTCTTGGATGAAAAGCGAAACATCATCGAAGAAAAACCAGAAAGTCCAGTTGCGTGTTGAAAAAGCATCTTTGGAGTTAGACCTGTCCAGTTTCTACAGCTTAGGGTGGTCTAAAAACTGGTCTCCAACCTAAACAATTTCACCATGTTGACTGTCATTCTTTCTTATTATGCCACAATAGAATAGAATAGAATAGAATAGAATAGAATAGAATAGAATAGAATAGAATAGAATAGAATCTGGAAGGAACCTTGGAGGTCTTCTACTCCAGCCCCCTGCTCAAGCAGGAGAACATATACTGTCTCAGATAGGTGAATGTCTAGTCCAGGGGTCTTCAAACTTAGCCCTTTTATGACTTGTGGACTTCAACTCCCAGAATTCCTCAGCCAGGCATGCTGCCTGAGGAATTCTGGGAGTTGAAGTCCACAAGTCATAAAAGGGCCTAGTTTGAAGACCCCTGGTCTAGTCTCTTCTTAAAAATCTCCAGTGATGGAGCACCCATGATTTCTGGGGGCAAGCTGTTCCACTGGTTGATTGTCCTCACTGTCAGGAAGTTTCTCCTTGATTCCAGGTTGCTTCTCTCCTTGATATGTATGATGTTCTTCACGTGGGCAGGAGACAAGGCAAGACAATCTGTGGTAGAGATTAATAAGAGAGACCAAGAGGTCATTGATGGAAGATAAGGTAAATTAGAGGGAACACACTCACTAATTTTGTTGTTGTTTTTCTTATATTGACCTATCTAGCCAGCCATTTTTCAACTGCAACTCTGGATGGCAAAGACATGATTGAAAATCAGTGGAACAAATGAATAAATAAGAAAAACAACAACAACAAGAAGACTGTAAGAGCTCATAGGCACCCAAGCGCAATCAAACACTTCCTATTTCAATGCAGCCATAAAACCACTACAGAGCCAAAATATCTTATCTCAACACATGGCGTAATAAACTAAGCTAAACATGAAATCAGTGCTTGGTTGAAAGGCCACCAAATCATTCCAGAGCTCAGCATCCTCAAATTGATAACCTACTTAATGCTATCATATGTTGTAAGCCCCCAGTGGCTTAATCATTAGAGGAAGAAAGTTAGAAAAGACCCACTCAAATTGACAGAGTGGTTATAAGTGGTTTTAAGAAATTTGTACCTTCAAACATGCAAGTGTTGGGTGTGAGGCCTTTCCAGGTGAAGCACACCCATGAAACACAACTAGAACAGCTTATTTTACGTTATTGTAAGGCTACATGTACAGAATCTTGAGTTACAAGGTTTTTAAATGTTTGATGGTTTCATGCATATACAGTAGTAAGAAACCTGTTACAGTATTTTCCCACTCAACAGATAACCTCAGTGACCTTTTCATCCCCACTGGGAAGATGGACATGATCGTAATATTATCTGTACAGTAAAAATCTGCAACCACTTGACCTATTAATATAGGGTAGTAACATATCAGGATAGAAAGAACCTGGATTATTGTGTTGAGGTACAAGCAAAAAGTAGACAGGCTAAAAAATGACTCTGCCTCATCTCTCTCTGGATAGCGACAGCAGCAGAGAAATGTCTTCAGCAAAGAGCATTTGATTCTTAAAGTAGTATTGAATGGAGGAACTGGAGAGAAGAATAAAATTTTTATCCTTTGAGGATTCCCATAGATTTTTCCCGTAGCCTCTCCCTTGGAATTAAATCAAAGCCAGATTTAAAATCAATGAAAACTGCGACCAGAAATCTCTGAGCTGGGATGAGTATTTCTCAGTTAACTGATGGAGCACCAGGCAGTGATTGAGAGTCAAATCAAATAAAATCAAATGTTATTAATACGATCAAAGATGAAGAGTACTAACATGAATAAAACAAGAAAAGTGGTTAAGGGTTGATCATTCCCATCTGAAGCCTCTCTATTCCCTAAGGGGGATATTTTCACTTTCAATCGACTTGAGTCATTTTGGGTAGAGATATTTAGCATACAGCTTGCTGATTTATTAAATAAACGGATAGATTTATATTCCCTTTGTTTTTTAAAGAATGAGATAATGTAGGAAAGATGGCTCAGCTGCTAACAGTGAATTCTGGGGGATAAAATCTTCTCCTGAGGTTTTTCCAGATTTTAGGTATGCACGAGACTCAAAGGTGTACACAGGAATTCAGTTGGATTAATATTTTAAGAGTGGATTGGATTGTATAATTATTCCATGGTGAAAATACTCTGGAAATAGTTCTCCCAGCATTATACAGCTGTTTGGCAGAATAGATCAAACACATATCATTAAAGGAGCTGTTGACTAAGCACCAGAATCACAAAATGGTTCTAGAATTTAGCAGCTTCAGCTACTCTCATAGTTCTTCTTTCATTGCTTACCTTTTCTTTCAAGTTGTTATTTTACTTTATGACTGTACCTGGGCAGCATCACAAGAGGATTTGGATCTAAATTGAGGAAGGATATAGTGATATGTTGGTCATATTGATAGGGGGTTTGAAGAGTAAGGATAATAAGACTGATAGGATAACAATTGCTCAAAGGAGACTGCTAGGCACATTTGAGAATGGAGTTGAAGGAGAGGATCCAAACTTTAGGACAGGGCTTTTCAACCAGTGGTACGGGTACCACCTGTGGTACATTGGCACCTGGCAGGTGGCACGCGACCATCCTAGAAAAGTGGTAGTGGGGGAGGGGAAGGAGCTGAACCAGTGGCAGCACCGCACAAGCCTGAGCGAGAGATGGCTGGAGCTGCAGGGCTGTCAGGGCTCAGCGGAAGCGCCAGGATCAGTGCCGCTTTCCAGCTAATTGGCGCTTCTTCGGGGCTGTCAGGGCTCAGTGGAAGCGCCAGGGTCAGCACCAGGCTCCAGCTGTAGCTTGGCACTGATCCTGGTGCTTCTGCTGAGCCCTGAAGAAGCACCAATCAGCTGGAAAGCAGCACTGATCCTGGCACTTCTGCTGAGCCCAGAAGAAGCGCCGATCAGCTGGAATGTTGCAGCATCTCCAGGGTCTTGTGATTTACATTCAGATTCTTGGCAACTGATTCATATTTATGACGGTCACAGTGTCCCAGGGTCATGTGAAGTGACCAAAACCTGCTGCAACCACCCAGCAGATGGGGGGAATAAAAACCAAACACCCCCCACCCCACCCCACCCCCACCCCACCCCACCCCCACTGCCAATCTTCAACAGAAATGCTCACAACAATGAAAACCTCGGACAGGAGGAAGAGCGTTGCCGGGTGGGCAGGCAGGTGTCTTGCTCGGCTGTGGCTTGGGGGGGCACTTTTTTCAGTGCCATTGTAACTTCGAACAGTCACTAAGCGAACTGTTACCAGTCGAGGNGGGGGGGGATCAAGTTTTTGACACCTTGCTAGGCGACTGGTGGTACTCGGATGTTGCCATATCCTAAAAGTGGTACAATGGGTGAAAAGGTTGAAAAGCCCTGCTTTAGGAGACCTAGCAAGTCTTGAGAACCATTTATCCTTGAAGCTTTGTTTAGGGATTTGGCGTATTCCTCAAGATCAGAGAGGCAGATGAAAGAAAAGTGACCTCTCTCAAGAAGATTAAGTGACTTATTAAGTGAACACAGATACTGATAAAGGAGAATGTTTGTAGCTTGAGGTTGAAATGAGGGGTCCTTGACGCTCTCTGTTTTCTTGCAGACATTTCATTTGCTAAACTAGCTAGCATCACCAGTGCTGATAAAGTTACCTAGTTTGGGTAATGAAACGTCTGAAAGAAAATAATCAAGATCAGAGAGCACCAAGAACATATGTCAGGTTCCGACTAATGAAACACTTCAAAGAACTTCCAGGCATTGTTTTCCTAAAAAGTCTTTTTATTTATGTTACAACATGTCGGCACACCGAAGGGATGCTATGAACTAAATTCCCTTCCTCTGAGCAAATACTGTATATTCTTGCTTTGACAACATAGATATATAAAATCATGGCAGCATCACATCGGTCCCATTAGAGCCTCCAAATCTGAGTTAACTCTTAGATTGTTCTTCGGGCTTGCCATCCAGAAGAACAAGGCCCAGATTGTCTGCCAAGTGGACCTTTGAAATTTTGATACATTACAGTGCTTGTTCTTAGTCCTGGTAATAAAATAACTTCCCTTTCAGAAGCTAGACACCGTTTAAAATGGGTTCGAGAAGAGGGATATTAACTCCCAATATTTGCATTCAAGTCAAGATCGCGGTATGAATTTACTAAATTAGTGATCTAATTGTCTAAAGGTCCCAGAGTTTTTAATGTCATTTGTGTCTACCAGGAGGAGGAGGAAGGTAGGTGTTAAAAATCACAATATTGTGGGCATACAGTTAAATAAAGGGCAGTGGCACATGGGTCTAGGATGTTGAATGAAACTAAACCAAGCTAAACTGTTACAGTCAGTTATCCTGAAGATCTCTCACCTTTGTGCAATCTGTAACTCTCTTTGTAGGGGAAGAAGTAGCCTTCAGTGGTGTGGCTTTAAGTGCTCCTAGAGGGATATCCAGATTGGGGGTCGGCCAAGGTAAGAAGGGCCTCAGCTGATTATCACCTTTAAAGCGCGCCATGGCATCGGACCTGGTTACCTCCGAGACCGCCTTCTGCCACAGATTACCTCCCACCGGCCGATACGCTCCCACAGAGAGGGCCTCCTCAGGGTGCCGCCAACCAGACAGTGTCGGTTGGCGACCCCCAGGGGGAGAGCCTTCTCTGTCAGAGCGCCCACCCTCTGGAACGAACTACCCCCAGAGATCCGGGTGATTCCGGATCTCCCCTCCTTCCGCCGCGCCCTCAAGACCTGGCTGTTTCAGCAGGCAGGACTGGCCTAGGGGGTATTTTAATTGGTTTTAACAAAATTTTAATAGAGTGGCCAATTCAAATATTTATTTTTAATTATTTTAGATTTGTATTGGGTATTTATGTGGGATTGTTTTAAACTGGCTGTAAGCCGCCCTGAGTCCTCCGGGAGAAGGGCGGGGTATAAATGAAATAAATAAATAAATAAATAAATAAATAAATAAATAAATAAATAAATAAATAAATAAATAAATAAATAAATAAATAAATAAATAAATAAATAAATAAATAAATAAACAGGAGATTAAACTTTCATAAAGTGAAATGTCAAAGTTTACAAGACCTTTTTCAGTATTGGTGTGAAGGACATAAATCAAGAGGCAAGTCCTGATGGACTCCAGTTTGCCCTTCGGCTACCAAGGTGGATATAGTGTCGAGAGACACAAACTTAGTGAGTGGTTCTGTGGCAGCTATGGTTAATCCTATTGAGCTGTTGTAGCGTATCTCCCTACTCATCCTTGTGCAGTGTTCAAAGAACTGACCTTTAACGGTGTCATGCTTGGACTCATTCTGCATATCAGGTTGACTCCCAGCATCTTCTCAACATAATTGTCTTCTGGGGACATCACAGAGAAGAGGGAATTGACTTATTCTCCAAAGCACCAGAGGGCAGGACAAGAGGTAATGGTGGGGGGGGGGAAGCATGTTAAAGAGAGACCCAATCTAGAAGTGAGGAGGAATTTTCTGACAGTGAGAACAAATAACAATCAAAGGAACAGTTTTACCTCCAGGAGTTGTGGAAGCTCCATCAACTGGAAGTTTTCAAAAATAGCCTGGACGACCATTTGACCAGGATGGCATATGATCTTCTGCCTTGACCATGGGGTGGACTAGAAGTCCTCCAAGGTCCCATTCCAACCTTGTTTCTATGTTCTGTCTTGCTTTTCAAGTCAACAAATGCCTACCCAAAATGTCCGGGCTTTTTAACTTAGCAGTGTAATTGTCTTTTTTGTCACAAAAGGGGAAATTTGGAAATTAGCACGAGGCTGCTTTATTTTAAGCACCGTTATGAGGAACGGTAGGCTGCTCAAAGATCAGTAAGATTTGCTTGCTTCTGGGCAAGCTTGGTAGCTACTCCGCTTTGCACACATCTACCCACCAATACTGACAGCGGAGGAAGTGTCCCGAGGAAGGTACAATTGCTTTAGGAGAGCCAAAAAACAGAATTTAGGCTGCTCAGCGATATATGAAGCACAACCTATTCTTCATTTGCAAGGAGAGAGTGTTTGGCCAAGGTAATTTTTGTATATGGCTGAAGGGATTTGAAAGAGAACAGAGATGGAGACGTTTGCCTTTGCTGTGTTCTCATGTTCAGCTTGAACACGCTGTCAATCTTTCTATTTTTGAAACTGAATAAAGTTTTATCTATATATTTAATGCCAGTTGTGCTGACCTAGAGTCAGCTAACACTCTTAAAAAAATGTTGCTTTTTTTCCTTCTAAGTCACTCTTTCGTGAGTCCAATTGTCCAAACACCCAGATGACTATTTGAACTGAAAAAAGACACGGCTTAGCCATAAATTCTGTGTTGTTAATTGTGGAAACAGCATTTCCGCACCTTATCTCTGAGTTTTCTTATTTTGTATAAAAACCATAGACAAAGTAGAGGGGTTTGAAGAGGTCAAAAGGGGGCTGGGGCTGGGGATGAGACAGGTGACTTTGATTTAATCATCTGGGAGATGTTGAAAGCTCTAGCCACTGCTTCTTTTTCTTGTTCTTTTTTGAAGATCTGATCTGAGTGTCTCACAATGATTATTACAGCTTCCTTGGATAATACAAGTTCCTTGAATCTTGTTTCAAGTTCAGCTGACTTGAAAGAAGGTTGAAGTTCAGGATTGGTTCCATGATGCTTCTTCCTTTTCCCATTGTGCCCAGACACCTATCTTCCTTCCTTCCTTCCTTCCTTCCTTCCTTCCTTCCTTCCTTCCTTCCTTCCTTCCTTCCTTCCTTCCTTCCTTCCTTCCTTCCTTCCTTCCTTCCTTCCTTCTTTTCTCCTTCCCTCCCTCCCAATAGAAAAGGCAGAAAACCATAGAAACCTGGTGAAGTTGGTATTCTCTGATCACCGCCTTGTACCTCCTCCACATGACAAATTGAAAACAGGCTTAAATCAAACAGGGAACCAATAGAAAGCAGTGGTGGATTCCTTTACCCCAAGAATGTTATAGGAGGACATTTGGTTGAAGATTAAGTGAAGTAGGATGAAGCTTCTCCTTGTGCCAAGTATAGTTGTAAAATTTGCCACTTGCTGTATATATTTCAGAATAGGGTTAGGGTTAGAGAATAGAATAGAATAGAATAGAATAGAATAGAATAGAATAGAATAGAATAGAATAGAATAGAATAGAATAGAAGAATAGAATAGAATAGAATAGAATAGAATAGAATAGAATGGAATGGAATGGAATGGAATGGAATGGAATGGAATGGAATGGAATGGAATGGGAATGGGAATGGGAATGGGAATGGGAATGGAGTGGAGTGGAGTGGAATGGAGTGGAGTGGAGTGGAATGGAATGGAATGGAATGGAATGGAATAGAATAGAATAGAGAAATGAAGAATTGGAATAGAACAGAATAGAATAAGAATGGAATAGAATAGAATAGAATAGAATAGAATAGAATAGAATAGAATAGAATAGAATAGAATAGAATAGAATAGAATAGAATAGAATAGAATAGAGAAATGAAGAATTGGAATAGAACAGAATAGAACAAGAATGGAATGGAATAGAATAGAATAGAATAGAATAGAATAGAATAGAATAGAATAGAATAGAGAAATGAAGAATTGGAATAGAACAGAATAGAACAAGAATGGAGTGGAATGGAATAGAATAGAATAGAATAGAATAGAATAGAATAGAATAGAATAGAATAGAATAGAATAGAATAGTTGTAAGAGTCCTTGGAGGTCTTCTAGTCCAACCCCCTGCTCAAGCGGGAAACCCTATACCATTTCAGACAAATGGCTGTCCAATCTCTTCTTAAGAACCTCCAGTGATGGAGCACTCACAGCTTCAATTTCATTGATTAATTGTTCTCACTGTCAGGAAGTTTCTCCTTAGTTCTAGGTTGCTTCTCTCCTTGATTAGTTTCCATCCATTGCTTCTTGTCCTGGCTTCAGGTGCTTTGGAAAATAGCTTGACTAACTCTTCTTTGTGGTAGCCCCTGAGATACTTCCATTCCTTATATATTGGAATTCTTAGATATATAGTAGATCTTGCTAAGGCGGCAATTTTACAAATGGAGAGTGATGTTTGCTCTCCATGGTCCAGGCTTGGTCCTATGTTGCCAACCCCCAGCCTATCCTATAAGATGGCTGAACAGGACACCATTACAACTCTTCCTCTATTTTTGTTTATTTTGTTGTAATGGGAGTTTACCTGAGCATAAAGCTATATGTTTAGTTTTTCTCTGAAATTTATTCAAAAAGCTGCTCTGGGATATTAGTTGCTTGATTACCACTACAATCACTCCTTTTTCAACACAATCTTTCAAAACTAATGCATTTTAATACACCACTGTATTACTATAGATGTAACTCATGTAGTTCTCTTCAATTCCTTGAACTTTTTAGGAATTAAAGATCCATCCATTGGTTTTACTATCTGCTGCCCAGGGAAGATTTCTGCTCCAGAATCCCCCCCTTTAAGATTTTATAATTTAAAAAACTATATAAAAATGCTGGTTTAAGTTCAAAGTAGGCTTGTGCTTACCTTCAAAAACATGTGAAGTATCCGGGATTCTTGGTTTATTCATTCTACAAAGCAAAACTATATGATCAGAATGATATAAACCTCCCCAAGGTGTCTGCCTCTATTTTGTAGTGTGAATTCTCTTTTATAGTCATTTTTTGTTGCAAGACTTTTAAACTAGAGACAAACCAAGTCTGTATCGCAAATTTTGAATGTTGGATTAGTTTCATTTTTAAAGGAAAACCAATACTAATTGGATTTAGTTTCTGATAGCCCTTGACTCATGATGGATTTGTTTGGCGAGGAATATTGAAACATTGCTATGGGCAGATGCCATGAAAGAATTCTTTTACATTGTTCTGGTGATGTGGGTTTAGCATCTTGTTTCCTTTCAGTAGACACGTCTGAGTCTTTCCCACCTGTGCAGTGTCTTAGATAACCAGTGCTCCCTTGGCTTGTCATTTCAGAGATACTTCTTCACCTAAATGGAGAAACAGAATGACCAACGGAATCTGGCAGAGAGCACAGGAAATTTCTCTCCCTTCCCTTTCCTTCCCTTCCCTCCCCCTTGAGTAGACATATGAGTGGCTGCTGCTGGACAGAGAAGGGAGCAAGGGATTACTAGAATGGCTGGGAAACTGTCACAGAATGTTGAAAATGAAGGCCACATGACTGCATCAGCCCAGCAGTGTAGCACTGAAGCAAACCCAATTTTCACAAATTTCATTTCCTTGGGAGTCATTGCCCCTGGGTTTTGCACACATTCTGTAAGTTAGCCCATTCAAGGTAGCTTGGTTCAAAAATTGTTGCCCTATGATGCAACATTTTGCCAAGATAAAGATCATAACAATGCGAGTTTTAGAAGTATATAAAAGTCTTGTGATTTATGAGTTAGCCTTGATTCCTGGTATCTACATGTCCAAATGAGGTTTATGATTAAACAGGAAACTGATTTCTGATTGATTGATTGATTGATTGATTGATTGATTGATTGAGGATATTTTTAGCTTCCCAGTCTAGTCTGCAGTTTTGATGTTTCCTGTTCAAGTCATAATTACCCTGCTTTGCTTTTTCCAAGATGAAGAATGGAATCTGGCATGAATACTTCCCCACTCATTTCCGCCCCAGGAAATATATACAATTAAAACTGAATGGCTGGTATTATTTTTAAGAAGTTGAGCTAAAAGGCACTTGAAACTGAAAATAACAAACAGCCCTTTTCTAAATCAATTGTAGATCATTTCTTTTCTTAGTTTAAAATAATATATTAATCCTAAATATGTTTAATATAGTAAAGTCTCTATGTATTTGCAGGTGAACAAACAAATAATAATACTTGACTAGATATGTTTTTATGCCATACAAGTCACAAAAAGTATAATCTAAATAGAGAGTAGCTATGCAATATAAAATAAATATGCCTATGAAACTCCAATTGGGATTTTTTTTAAAGATTTATTAGTGAACTATAGATACAATTTTAATCAAATCAGATCTTTGTTCTGGTCATAGACTAGCAAAGAATCAATTAGAGATTTTTGATTGTTAATTAATACAACTTTACTCTAGCAATATACACTTAGATTTATTGTATATAGCACTTCCTAGTGCTTTACAGCCCTCTCTAGACAGTTTACAGAGTTAGCCTATTGCCCCCCAACAATCTGGGTCCTCATTTTACTGACCTCGGAAGGATGGAAGGATGAGTCAACCTTGAGCCGGTCAGGATCGAACTGCTGGCGGTGATTAGAGTTAGCCTGCAATACTGCATTCTCACCACTGCACCACCACAGCTTTTACTTCTATTTGCAATACTAATAAAATACCTTTAAAGGTTTAGGTAAGTTTAGAGGCTAATAATTCTCCTTACATGGAATTCACGGAGAGAGAGAGAGAAAGAAATAGCGAAGAAAGCAAGGCAAGTGGGTGGGTGGTGCTGAAATCACAAAAACACTACAACATTCACTAAACACTTTCCAATCACCAATCTCCCTGCAGTTAGATACCCACATAAACACATAGTGTTTGGATTCGATTTTGTTTTGTAAATGCAAAATGTTATTTCTTAAAGCTGTTATTAACGTGCTGCCGATCATTTGTTATTATCGTCCATTTTCATGCATTGTCTTGCCAGCCTTCATATGTTTGTATCCCTAACTTTAGAAACAATTAAATGAATGATTTCTCTGTTTAAGATGGGGCCAAATTGATCTTACTGCTTGGATAATTAACCTCACCTGGAGATGTCCCCCCAATTTTTTTTCCAACTAAGTTTATATTGAGGTTAGGTTCTTCTTAAATTCAGCTAAGGCTGAATGATTAATTTGTCACTCAGGAATCAACTCCCTCCCCCATGTGAACTAAACTTAAGGAAGGAATAGATTTTTTTTAAAAAAAAGGTGTTTATAGGGGAATATAAATGTTTGCAAGGTAGATAAAAGGATGTGACACAAAGTTAATGTAGGTTGAGTTGAATTTTGTCTGAAGGTATGACCCATAGACATCAATGAGAGAGGGAGAGGCGGGATATATAAAATCTGGCCTTGAGCATTGACCTACAGAGGGCAAGAATGTGAATCTATTCTATTCCCATTTAGTAAGTTTCATGCTTAGCCCTCTTTGTATCCTACTTTGTTAGTGTAGGAGATGATCAGGCTGAGCCTGATGGTGGGGTCAAATGCATTATCAGTCTAGAATCCCTACAACATGAAAGAGATCTAAATCCAGCCACTCCTTGAAGTCTGTTGGCTCTTCCAGAGCCAACTTGCCTTGACCTTTAGTAGATCAGATTCTTGGGTATAGGTAGCATGAAATAAACACACAGTGCTTTTGAACACTATCCTGGCTCCTGTTTTTGCCTTTTCCCCCCACCTGATACAGTTCTCATCTATATCCAGAATCCAGTCTTGGCAAACACACATTCTAATTGGCTGTAATTGATTATTGCTTTCTTTTTTAAAAAAAAAAAGAAGGCAGAAAAACACGAGCCATTTTTTGAAAGAAGCAAAATGAGTTTGGCAACCTGTGCCACATGTTTTTAAAAGAGTCATCCTCAGATTTTCCCTGAAATGACTTTTTAAGCAACTGGAGTTGTCAGAGGTGTGAGGAATGAGGAAGAGAACCAAATTCCATTACGACAGCCCCAGTGAGGCTTTCCTAGGTCTCCTTCCTTGTGCATAAGTAAAATGCCTATGGAGGTTCTCAATTATCCAGGTCATGGTTGTCCCAAAGTTTTCAGGAGGCAACTGGACTTTCTTGTTTTTCTTTGAAGATGTTTTGCTTCTCATCCTAGAAGCTTCTTCAGCTCTGACTGGATGGTGGGGGGAATGGACAGTTTTATACTCCTTGCAGCCCGCTGGTCCTTTGCATTCTTTTAAAGAGTCGTTGAGGAGATAAACCTCCAAGTGGCCTCAATGACGCTCCGAAAGAATATAAACGACCAGCTGTCTGAAAGGAGTATAAATCTGTCCATTCCCTAGAACTGAAGAAGATTCTTGGATGAGAAGCGAAACCTCTTCCAAGAAAAACGAGAAAGTCCAGTTGCCTCCTGAAAAAAAGCGCAGTGCAGAAGCCATTTCTGAAGCCGCTCCTGTCCAGTTTTTTCCCCAGGGGAGCAAGGAGCGAAATCTCAACATCCTTTGTTGCTCTTTGCTTGCAGATTCAAGACCTCTGCCGGATGTCGCCCTGACGGGAAAGTGCACCCGGGAATGCGACGAGTATGGCCACTCCGATTCCTGTTGGATGCCTGTCCGCACGTCACCCGAACGGAAGCCCAAGAGCCAGCCCAAACTCTCCACATTCATGCCTGTCGATGAACGGGGCAGTCCGGAGAAGCTGGCCAACGGAGAGGCCTCCCTGATGGGCGATCGCAACAGAAACCTCCTGAACAAAAAGTTGACCTCGTCTTATGAGACCTTCAGTGTAGCTAGCTTCAGCAAAAGCGAAGAAACCAACCCAGAGGATATCCCCCTGGCACAGACAGGGGAATACAAGCCATCTCCTATCAACACTTTATCTCGAAGGGAAGTTTACCTCTAGGGGATCCGGAAGTAACAATGCCGGTTCTTTCCCAGAGCAAAAGGCCCAAAGCCGATCACTCGAAACCATTGAAAAATTTGGGAAGGAAGAAAAAAAAACCACCCTGTCGAATCCAAGGGGGGCTACCAAAGAGACGATGGCCTGGCTTGCCTCTTCTGCCTCCCTGCCAGGCATTTACATATCCTGTCTGCCTGACTATATTGTACAATGTAGAAACCATTGTTGTCCCTGCATGTCTTAACACCGTGCTCACCTATTCTTTTATTATTATTATTATTATTTTCCGAAAAAGTTACCTTTATAAATTCCTTGCTAGGGAACAAACCTGAAATTGAAAAAAAGAAAAGAGAAAGTAAACATAAGATAGACATTCTGGTTCCCCTCCCCAGCACACACAAACACCCACACACACACACACACACAGAGGGACAGACAGACACCGTCACAAAGAGACACACATCACTGGAGTGCTGTTTGAGCCTCTCTTGATTGTCCCTGGATGGCCATCTGCTTTGTCTGCAATCGCAGGTCATTGGGAAAAAAAAATCTTCTCAGATGTGCAAGCAGAACTACGCATTGCTATGTCTGCATGTGTCTGGTTTCCATCAGAGGTAAACCTTCAGAAGCCCTACAAAAGAAATGTGTAAAATAACTTTTTTTAAAAGAGAGGAAGAAGAAAAAGAAGAAGCAGCACTTTTTAAGGACCATATCTTTAATACAGTCCTGTGGCTGGAAACAAGAAAGAATGGGGGGGGGGAATTCAGCCTGAGATTATAGTCTAAAATATTACACATTCCCTCCAACCGTCACCTGTAGGTTTAGTTTTACTCATAGACAAATGACATTATCTATCTCTTTCTGGTTTTATTATTCTTTATCATGCCTTTCTTCCTTTCCCCCCATCCTCCTCCCATTTTCTAACATTTTAACTTAAATATAAAAGGATGGAATACATATATAAACACACTGGCACACATACAAACACAAAAAAAGAAGCATACATGTACACAAGAATGAATGAATGAATGAATGAATGAATGAATGAATGAATGAATGAATGAATGAACGAACGAATGATGGGGCATGACTTACCGATATCAAGAAACTGCTGAAACTGGTGTCATTTTTACAAGGCCAACCTTTTAGCTCGGATGATCATAGTAATTTGAAGACCAAAGAACGCACTATGGATCAAGGAAATTGCTCGTTGGTCTTGTCACATAAAATCTGACCCAGGAACACGCTGACACTAAGCATGGTGATTGTTGTTAACATGGATTTTAGTTTGATGCCCAAAGGAACTGATGACATGAGCTTGCTGAATTTTTTTTTTAAAAAAAGTGATTACATTCACCAACTATATTAACATGACCCTCTGGCTTCAAAAAATATGTTTTCCTTAGAAAATTTACAAATCCATCTGACAAACTTCAAAACACGTTCAGGGGATAGCCGAAAGAAGAGTGAGAATGAAGGCAGGACGAAGAATATGCTTCAAGTCAAAACATGGCAGCATCTGGGTTGAGAATGGATGCTAATTCTTGGGTTCTTGCAGTGTTCCAGGTTATTCGTTTGCTGTAGGCAAAGGTATTATGCAGGTTTTCTTAAAACACAAGTGCATTTAAGCTGAGTCTTGTGCAATACCCAACCCGTGTTGAGACTCCAGGCGACCCAGAGTCTCGGCAGACGTCATTCCCAACGTGATCTTGTGCAAAATTGTGCGGCTTGCGACTTTGTAGAAAGCATCCAAGCCAGATGCAGAGCTCCGGGGTCGTGACGAATTCATATAGTTTGCACTATATACAGGGGATAGGAAAAAAATAATAATGGACCAGATATTTTTTTTTTTGTGCAATAAGAAGTTGCAAGAGTATGGAAAATTGAGCTAGTTCTGTATTGATGGTAAGCAAATAGTAATAAAGAATGGACATTCAAATGAAACTGACAATCGGTCAAGGCAGTGGGAGCAGCTTGGGAAAGGTGCAGAGACACCATCTCCTCAGGTTGTTTAACTTGGCATTAAAGCATGGCTAGATTGTTGTAATAGATTTAGTGACAAGGTAGCTTGGATAGCTTGCATTAAGAGTGACATAGAATATATTATTAGACCGTCTGACGTATGGGCCAATCAGCTGGTACAAATCCCTCATGACTTTTGTCTTTTAAACGCTCCATAGCAAAAGTGCCCTTTGTTTTTTTAAATGTACATCTTCTTTGCATTTAATCGTTCGATTGGTTCTTAGCTCGCCTGTAGCAACTAAACATATTGCCACGTTTTAGAGATGGAGAAAATGTCGAAGGAAAGTTTAGGAGTGAATTGATCGTTCTAATGCATCCTTTTTTAAAAACAAACAAACAAACAAACAAAAAAGATAGATATCAGAAATTCAAATTTCGACTTGATTAGAGGACTGACTAAACCCTTTTTCTGTATTTGTGTAACCCTTAAGTATATGTTAAAGGTAAAATGCTTGTCGATATATTTGCATTAAATATGCACTTTTTTTTTCAGGCTTCAACTGAAAACACCATCAGCCACACAAAAAGAGCAATGTGTAGAATGACAATACACCAAGCATTGTCTTACAGACACTAAAATGATAGCGGTCCAGATCGTCGTTGTTGTTTTTTTTAACCTCAATTCTAGACAGCCAATATTTTAAAAGAAGACTTTCAAAGTTAAATGGATTGGCATCTATTCCCCCTTTTGTGCGCCACATAAAGGCACATACAGTATAAGACTGAACAATTTACCTAATTTAGTTGTAGTGATAAGCCCAAAGGATGTAAAAAAAAAAAGAAAGAAAAAGAAAGAAAATTATGTGTGCTTGTTTGTATGTTCAGTAATCCTAGTAACACCTAACCATCAAAACATAATCAACAGCTTCTTACTACCCAGCATGATCCACAGATATATATTTTTTCCGTAGGTGTTTTTCATTTGAAATTAGTCGAATTGGGAAACACCCCTTCTATAGAGTGCTTTTATATTAAATAAAAAAATATATATAAAAAAATGGAAACGGAAAGTTTTAGAGCAAATGCAAAATATGCAATTGTGCCTTTTATATTGTTGTCATGGTAAAACAGTGCTTGGGTTGGACACTAAAAATATTGGACTGTTCCCACTTTTTTTCAACCTGTATATTTAACCCTGTTTATTTTCTGAAAAGCATCAAATGGTATATTTAAGTGAGAGAGAGAGGGGGAAAAAACCCCTTCTACCAAACTCAGATAATGGACCAGTCTTAAATATAATTCATGGGGGAAAAAGAAAGAAAAGAAAGACTATGGTTTGGGAACAGGTTAAACAGGTCAAATTAAAAAGTTACAGTATTGATCTCAGTGACAAGAAATCATGCCTCTCTCTCTCTCTCTCTCTCTCTTTGGTAGATAAATTGACGAATCTTTGTTCATTGTTGCTTTTTTAATAGATGAAGATTTTCTTTGCAGCCATTTTGTTTTAATTCCTGTTTTAGTTCGATTTCACAAGGAACTCAAGTGAACTGTGTTTGCATTTGACACTTTGCACATTCCTAGCTTGACATGCCACTTATGTAAACTTTATATGAATTAGAGGGGGGGAAAAAAGAAGAAGTCATATTAACTTTGATATAAACTCTTACGCTCATTCTGACCTCCGGCTAGGCTAATATTTGGGTCAGTTTCATTCTTGGCTGGCCTACTCTCTTGAGTTTCTGGAAACAAGGTAGATGCTATTTTTATGCGGGGGAGAAAGAACTCCACCTAAGAGATGGAAGGTGTTGGAAGAAAGACTAGGAAATTGTCACTGTTGGAAAGCAAAGATGTGGGGAAATGGAACTGGGTTAAATACAACCATCACTAACAAGATTTGAACAGCATTTGACAAGGCGAAGAATGGAACAAGGTTTCCAGATGGTAAAAAGGCAATGTTCTCTTAAGTGCTGAAAGGAACAACACTAATGTTGGACAATTCCTTGAAGAACGAACCTAGAACTTGGACGAAGGCATCTTTCCTAGCTACCTGGGGTAATCCTTTCAAGCCCTTCTTTTCCTGATATTTTTTTTTGAAGCACTTACATTCAGTGTGGTTACGATCCGTTGTATTATTAATCATGGACTATTGTTCTGCTACTTGGATGTTGGTCGTGAAGCAGAGAACCAACTTATTGTTTATTATGAGTCACTATGCACGCAACTATGCTAAGAAGAAGAAAAAAAAAACATGGCAAAAATGTATTCGATGCTAGTCCACCTCTATTTATGAAAGATTTTGCATAATTTTATTTGCTTTTGTACAGTTTTCTGTAAATAAATTGCTTGTCATTTTTGTCTCTGCAAATTAAAATATAACATGTTAAAAACGGCCGGGCGTGTGTTTGATTTCTAGAAGTAGCAGCATAGGAGAGGAGAGATGATGTAAGTTAGGGTCTCACCCTGCAGTGGGATGGGCAGCCAATAAATTTAATAAATAAATAAAATAAAGCAGGCTGAATAATGGAAGAGGTCTGCTTTCGGAGACGTTTCTCTAGAGCCCTTTGTTAACATCGTAACGCCAGCTTTTTATATATACAATATGTGAACTCTCTAGGACAGGGGTGTCAAACTCGCAACAAAGATTCGGATGATTCCGGATCTCCTTACCTTCCGTCGCGCCCTCAAGACATGGCTCTTTCAGCAAGCGGACCTGACCTAGGGAGGATTTTATACTGGGCTCATTTTAAGGAATTTGGAAGACACAACTCTAAAATTCGGTTTAATTCGGTTTTATAGGGGGGGATTGTATATATGTTTTTGTTTTAAATATGTTGTGCGCCGCCCTGAGTCCCGCTGGGAGAAGGGCGGCATATAAATTAAATAAAATAAATAAATAAATAAATAAATAAACATCACGTGACGTGTCGTGATGTATCGTGACTTTTTTTCCCATTGCCGGCAATGGGGTGGGCACAGTTTCACCATGACGCATCTGGCCTGCAGGCTGGCAGTTTGACACCCCTGCTCTAGTAGGGTCTTGCACACATATAAACATAAAAGATGGGAGATCTAAGTGAGCTCTTTCATTTTATTCCATGTAGCATGTTCA